CTATATTAGGTAAAAGTCCTCATGGAACAAGGTGGACCCAAACCTGCCCCAGAGGAGTCATCCTCTCCAAACAGCTTTGAGTGACAACAGGCTCAGGAAGCAAATTGTGGTGTTCTAGAAATGTAGTTTCGTTACATGCTTCCTTGGAAACCAAAATTCCTCTTTTTTAAAAGGGAAAAAATAAATCACAAAACCTTCATATTAGGAAACAAACTCTTTGAAAATTGAATTTGTTGGAAATAAATTTTCAAGATTTTCAAGAGCACATTTACTATCAGAATCAACCCTTACTAGTTTTTGTATAATTCCACTTAAGAAGCCAGATAAAGCATTCTGAATTTTCCTTTCAATTGTTGGTAGAGTGCATATTTGTTTTTTGGCATACTTATTCCTTAATTGTCAGCTTCCTTTTTCCTAATTCTGCAGAACTGATTTATTTTCAATTGCACTTTAGAGTCACGTTAGTAGAAACCGATCTCTGGATCCTGGAAAATTAAATCTTAAGAATGCCAATAAAAAGGTAAGCAAAACTACCCAACAGGGAAAGGTCCTTTCTCATGGCTGTAATTATGAAAACGCATTATAATCTGGTAAGTAGTTATAAGATTATGAATTTTAATTCTAACATTACTTTGTGTTACAGTAATCTAACTTGGACCGCTTATTCAGTTTCCCATTGTTCAGTGCAAAGCATTTTCTGCTGTTTACAGGGCTCACCTACACTTACAGCCCTTCACATATGCTATATGCACTATAGTTGTGCACACCAGAAACCTAGATTGAAAGAAAGTTAAGGCCATAAAGCTAGCGACTGAAAAATTATGAAAAATATATATTTGTTATCTATCTCTTACATATATTTCCCCAACATAAAGTAGTGTTGTAATTAAAATTCATACAACTGCTTTCAGATGACATAATTCTATAACGCATACGCTCATTCTTCTGCCATTGCCTAACTTTGGGAGCTTGGCATTGCAAGCTAGTGCTCTTCTTAACACTGCCCTCTTCCTTTCTTTTGAAAACCAAAATGAAGAATGAGATTTCTGTTTTACACACCTTCCTGACCACAGTTTGGGTCATTGGGCAGGTCCAGATCTTTAGCTTACCAGTACATGAGATAATAAAGTACTGTCCTCAGGTAGCCTTTGTCATTGCAGAGATGAGTCACCATCCCTGAGAGCAAACAAATGAAGTCACGGACCTGGGGGTTCAACTCAAATCCTGCAGGAAGCTGTCCTCTCCGGACAGGCTCTCCTGCGCCAGGCGCTCTATGCTGTCTCTATTCCCAGCCTGCAAGCCTGCAGGTCCTGCTGCTCTTCTTACGCCCTTGGCTGGCTCTTGATTCAATGCCTGCTCTCCACCAGTGGCTCCTGCGCTCCCACTCACCAGCAAAGTCTCCTCTCCATCGCCCTTTCATTTTCCAACAGTTATCTTTATAAGTTGCTCTGTCTGAAGTCTACCTTGATGGGGACAATTATTAGATACTGTCTGCTACATACTGGATGAAAAAGAAGTAGAAATCTGAGAAGGAAAGTCGTCTCCCTTCCACTTTTCTAAGTAAAGTCTTGATTTTATTTTTTTGTTTGTGACAGACAGTTTGCAATCATTGCATGTGTAGGGAGCAATATGCTGTGCAGACTCCAGGAGGAAGAAAACTGCAGGGCTGTCTTTCTTAAATTTAATTTAAGGATGTGATTTCACAGGATTGAGGTGAACTGAAAATGGAATGACTGGAAGTAATAGCCGAGCAACCTCTCAGTAGAGTGTGCAACCAGAGCACCCTCTCAGTCCTGTACATTTTAGTGACTTAAACGAGCACTAGAAAACCAAACCCAAGCAACACGACAACCTTTAAACCAAGACATCTGTTTAGAGGTTCTACATTTTACATATGGACTAAAGGAAAAAAAAAAAAAAGAGAAAAAAAAGACTGTAACCTGCCATTTCAAATGTTCTCATTTGTTCTAAAGCCTCAACCATAAGAGTGGTTCAGCCTAGGTCCTACCAGGATTCCGCTTTCCTTGCTTTCCCCTGGAATAGTCCTTCAGGGTGCAGGAGAAACAGCTGTTTTCTTGAGCACTATTTGCTCTCAGTCTTAGCTCGATAATGTACGCATGTTTTCTGGTACTAATCTCACAATCAGTAAGTCTTATTATGAGGACTCTACAGAATGCATTTTAAAGTCATCCATAGCTTGCAGTAAATTCCAATTAGTCACTCTCTGAAAGACACATTATGTAAGTTTAATCCAGTCACACAATTCAGTCAACCTCGGACAAATTATCTTTCTAAAAAGGCAAATCGATGCATTTCCCATTTGTTGAGTAATAAACCAAAATCACTTTAGGAAAAAAACCCGAACAAAACAGACAATTCAAAAGTCAAGTTAAGCTCAACAAGTCCTAAAATGTCGAGATTAGACTTGATCAGACCTCCTGAAGCCCACGTGCATTTCCAATACGATGTAGTGTTTAGTTTCATGACCACCTGGCTCCTCTCTCAAACACAGTATCATGGTTTTTTTCAGTCTCGGGAATGCACTGCAGGCTTTTCATTCTCATATGGTATTTTCATGTTGTTATGACTAAATATGCCTTTATTGTTTCAGACTCCATATATAATACGATCCCTTCCCTCTAAGGAATGTATTTTAATAATAATAATAACCAGCAGTTATATTACACACATTTTTTTAAAAATTAAAGATGATGCCCTGTTGTACATATCTCAAGAAACAAGATATTTGGGTTGCTATGTGGTTAGCCGTTGTACATTTTGTTGTGTTCTGTTTCACTGTATAGCTAACAGCCAAATGCATATGCTCAGAAAATCCTTCCTTGCCTGAACACTTTATGAGTGTATTTTATGGGTTCAGTACATGATTTTCAAAAGCTAATCAGTCAGATTGTGAAACTGAGCCCAATTTCCTCAATGCAGTTCTCGGTGGAGGCTTGTTCCATGCTAAATACAATTTTCCCAGTCATATCTTTCATAGAATTGTTCCAAGGAGGGAAGGGGAGCCCAAAATTTTACTTTTTATTTAAAATTGGTGATAAGCTGTTTTCATTTCAGTTTCTTCACTTGTAGACATGCTGATGCCAGGCATAGCCTCTGCCCGCGGACAGACGGAATGCTATTCAAAGAAACGTTCAATCTGAAAGTTGACACCTCAGGAGCTGGATGGGAAGGACCATCATGCAGTCTCAGCCACCAGGGTAAGACTTCTCTTGCTGCCATTCCAACGCAGCCACATTTACCTGGCACATAGACAGCATCACACAATGCTCAAAGTATACTGGGACCCTCAGCCAACACACAACCCCTCTTTGAGACTGCAGTTACCCACAGGGGAGTTGGGGTTTAAGACATGGTTGAATGATGAAAACTTACTCCTGAGAAAAGTTCTATATTTACAACAAAATTTTCCAAATGGACTGGCTTCTAATTAAATCAGGCCTTCACACCCCCACCCCTCCAGTGAAATACTTATTGCAAAATCTAAAGAAATGGCTATTTATATTTTTGAATTTTTATTTCTGATAAAATTGTATGTGATTTCCACAGCAGGTAATGAACATTTTTATATCTAGAACTTAAAAAGAAGTTTTAAAACAAAATGTTTTAATTAAAACCTTAATTAAACAAATTCAGCCAAAGTGTTGGCTTGGTTTAAAGTATGATTGTTAAATTAAAAGAAATAAATAATCTAAACCAAAGTTTAAATTATGGAAAAAATGTTGCCCAATATTGCTGCTAGAAATTACTGCATAAAAAGTGAGTTCATTTGGTACTGTATTGTGCAATACAATTAGACCATATTAGCATTATTTGGGAAGATTTTATGTTCGCACTGATGTACTTACCAGAAATACCTGAAGTACCCTTGTTTTCATAACAAGGGAGCAAACTCATAAAAAAGCAGAGAGATCTTAGGGGAAGCCAACAGAAAAGTTGTTTTTCTGTAGCCTTAGTCCTATAACCTACCAGTCACTGCAGCTGATTCGGATCTAGGTCAGCTGGCTTATTTTGTTCCTAGTGGCATGATGGGTTGTAGACTTGCTCCCGGCATTTACCAATATGGGCCTTTGGAAATGACAAGTCGAAACTGTGCACTGGCAAAAAGCATCCACTGTGACTATTCCTCTCTTTCAATAACTGACAAGACAAAACCAATTAACATTTGCTGTTCTGGATAGTAGCACAAAAACAAGGCACTTTTCAGTGGCAAACAACACATTTATTTTCTGAGGGAGGGGGCTATTTTGGTATATAACCACAGACCTAGCCATGGCAAAATAAAGTAAAAATCTCACAGTACCTGCAGTAAGAAGTTCTGCTGTTGTTCTGGTTCTGGACGACTTTGCTAACATCAAGCAACTTAGCTTTTAGCGAGGTCAGCAACTAGCCCACTGTGTCCACTGAAGGAGGGGTGATAATTCTGGGCATTTCCTTCACACTCCATAGGTACAAATACCACTAGAGGTGTATATGGGCACGCGAGAATGCGCACAGGCAGGGATGTGGATGTTGCAATCAATAATGGTGCTAAGGTGGGTTTCACAAGCAATAGCTACAACTTCATTTATGCTGTATAAATAATAATACGCTTCCTCACAGGGTCATGTTCTGGGCGAGACGGTGCAGTCCTGCTCCCCTCCCGGGGCTCCTGCCTTGTCCTGGTTTGGTCCTGAGCCAGCGAAGCCACAGGGCTCTTCCCTACAGACACCGACGCAGGACGTCCCCACGGCCCCAGCTGCCTCTGTTAAAATAACCAACTGCTCCAGCCCTTCCCTTAAAGACAGAGACTACCAGCCTGCTCGCAAGGGACAACATATGACTGCTCGATAAAAGCAGAGCTGCTACTAAGCTGTGTGACACTGAGGCAGGACATGCCAATCAAACACTGTGATAAAAGCTACCCAGAAAGCTAAGAAACGAGCTCTTTTCACTCCTAACTCTGACTGTGGCAAGGAAAGCAGTTCTCCATGACCATGAGTTCAAGCTGAGGTATCAGCCTCGGCAATTCTCTCCTTGCTTTGCAGCAGCTCGTTACCACAGTCCCGTTCTTTCCTCGGGAAAACAAGCTGCATTAAAAGGGGGACAACCCCAGCCAAACTTGGTAAGTACAGAAGGGTACCAAGAGCTGGAGAGCACAGAAGATATACCACCTCCCTGCCCCAGGGGGCTGGCAGCATCACTTTCCCCAGGCAAAGCACGCAAGACAGCTCATGAGCAAGGAGAGAAGCATCACGGAACACCAGAATTTGTCTCCAGTAAATCCTTCAGACGAAGCCTGTCCGTTACAGCTTTGCTTTCAGTCCTTTCCATCCACCCTTCCATCCTTCATAGCTTTGGTTTTGGTCCATCCTGTCTTCCTCTCCTCCTGCCAGGAGCCTGGGCCATGGAGGTGGTAAGCTAAACAGTGAGTTAAAGCAGCCGCCTGTGCCAGGTACTCCTCTCCCCGGGAAAGGCAGAAGCAGAGAGACTGGGAGGACTACGCATGTGGTTTAAGTTTACTATTACACCATTATGCATTGCTGAATTGGGGCTAGAGAGGTCTGTCTTGCAACTATGAGAGCTATGGGAAGAGGAGTTGAAGAAGCAAGGAGCTCTGCCTAAGGCAGCAACCCTCACACTGGCCAGCAACACGGAGAGGCTGCTCCTCAGCAGCTTCTCCATCTTGCTCCCATCTAGTCAGCATTTTCTATTTCAGCTAACAGCATCGCGTTTTCTTCCCGTCCCCGGCCTGTAGCATGTCTCCTTGCTGGCCTGCAGGGAGCTGTGCCGTTGTGACCGAGGCACGACTGACGTTCATTGCAGCGAGGGGTCACTCCAGCAAAAGCTTCTTGACTTGCGACACGTCAAGGCAGACTGTATTCCAAAAAGACCTTAAAAGTCATTTATAAATGCCACAAGACAATGTGCTCTGTAGGAGTGATAACAGCCAAAATGTAATGCAAATTGGCAGCTGCATGAATGCTACTCTTTTGGCAAATGCTCTTTGTTACTGATATATTTAAGTATCATAAGGGAAAACAGGCTGTTAGACTAATTTTCTGAAATCACAAGGGACTGGTGATAGTTTATTTCTCATCGGACCCACACTGTTATAAGGATTTCCTTAAATAAAAGGAAAAATAAAAATTAAAAAAAAAAAAAAAAAAAGAGAAGGCACATCAAAAAGCTTAACCATACCCTTTGATGAGGAACCTTACCTGTGTTCTAGTAAGGAAATGTTGATGGTGGCCAAACTTTATGAAATAAATAATTTACAACACTTCCTTTATGATATCCATTTAAGAATCATATTGATAAAATCGGTTTTTACAATAAACCTCTGTATCTTTTTGTAACTGAAAATGTATACACTTAGGGATAATGACAATCATGTAATTCACAAGGTGTTTCTATTATTATATTTATTAGGTTTTTTTCATTTATTCCTCATGGAATAGGAGCTCTGGCTACTGGTATAACATGGGCAAGTGGTATGGAAATTTCTTTTTATGTTTCATTAATATTTTCTTACCTGATGTATAATATTCATTTCACATTAGTCTTGTCTGGCAGTCTAATGCATCCAATATTAGCCTTTTTTGTTCTACACAGTAATTAAATTTTGAGTAATTCAATGTATGTTATAATTGAAAACTGCAGCTCATTAATTTCTAAACACTCTTTGTATTTCAGACTACACCTGCTCCTTTGGCACATCCTCTATTTTGAATCCATCCAGTTCTTCCTGAATAAGCTATGTTGCTATGATACATGTGCCGTCACAGATTCTTTCTTCAACATACTTTCAGTCCATAATCATAATTATTTAGCATAAATAAGACTAAGAGTGCAAAGTCTCCTAATCCTTCCTTAATTATCACTTGATTCAACCTCATAAATTAAGGTGAAAACAATTTTTAACCTGAAGGAATACTAGAGTTGTGACACGGACATGCAACATTCTTGCAAAATTTATAATGGTGAAAACTTGCTTATGGACCACCTCACTGCAGAAAAATTACAAAATGGGGTAACCCCCAGTGTCCATCAGCACTCCTTGCAGACCCTGATTACCAGTTTTCTACGTGCCAGTATGTCCATGGGCATAGCTGCACCAGCGCTGTGGGTCAAGGTCTACATTCATTTTATACAATTGCAATTAGGCAGACTTAGAAAATGAGGTAGGCTGATCATCCTTCAAATGAGTCTCTCATGTAGGCTCCCACTATCCTTGCATAAATCTCTACTTAAACCAGGAGTGATTTGAAACCTGCAATGAATGAAACCAGAGTGGAATTGGCAGTGGAATTATACTCTGCTCCCAAAGTCAAATTATCAGTTATTATTAAATTATCAGTTTATTGCCACCCATAATCCCTGATCACATTCTCAGAAAAGGCGTTCTAATTTTCTCATTTCTCCTTTTCCACATATGGTTCATCTTTCTTATTTATTCCCTCTTAGTTTCCTAATTAACATTTTAAAATGCCTTTGTCATGAAAATTTTCATATAAGGGCAGGAAGCATCCCATTTCCCTAGAGGAACGGACTGTTAAAAATTCTTACTTGAGACAGGCACTTAAGAAACCATCCTCTCAAACCATGGTCAAACCCAGCATATTTGAAACAAATTTAAATAATGTCTTGATTTGAAAACGGAATCATTTTGAATGATTCAAAATAGGGCTGGCAATGCAACTCCCCATCATAAATTTGGGGTATGCAGATTATTTACTTTTGGGGGGAGAAGCAGGCATTGGCATGTGGACAGGTTATACAACTTCTGTTACACAGGATGGACTGTTGGGTTTTGTTCTGGGTTTGGTTTTTTTTTGTTCCCCCCCCCCAGCAAGTCTCTGGTTTCTTGCAACATAACATTTAGTTTATGTCTATTTTCAGTTGAAATACACTAGTCCTAGGTCCTAATCAGTAACTCAAAGATCTGACATTTGGGATTTCAGAGGCATATGATCTTTGGACAGAAGCTCTTATTTTTAGTATAGGGCACATCGAAGCTAGAAGACTAAGTTTGGGGTATAGTTCCATTTCTTAAATTCATTGGCAATAAACAAAATTACTGGCAATGAACAAAATGTTTATCCAACACAACGGCTTTCTTCTTACTTAGTCACGTTTTTCATCTCATTTTACAGGGCAATTTTTTACTTGTACTGCCCATCATCAACTAACACTTTAAGTGACACTGCTCATAAGATTTCTAACACCGAGGTTATTTGAATTTTCAACAATAAAAATAGCCCAAGAGAATTAACCCATAAGGCCCATAAAAAAATTATCCAGTAAGCTCTCAGCATTATCAACTTGCTGAGCAGCGAGCCTGCCTTGCGAACTCCGGTGTGTGACAAAAGTGATTGGCAGGTTCCAGGCACCAGGCTGCAGCGCTGCGACAAATGCTAGCAAGAATTTGGAGGCTGGAGTGAATGAGAAGCTGTCACTTAAGAGACTAAGCACTTCAAATTCTGTGAAAGATAACAACACACGATACTTTTTGCAATTTTTGTGCATTTGTGTTAAACACATCATTACTTTAATCATCAGCCAATTCACAGAAATGCCTGAATGCAAATATGATTCACTATCATATTAACTTTGGTAAATGCTTCAAGACATTTCCAGCAATGTAAAATCATCAGAAATCTTCAACCAATAAACTATTTGATACATGATATAAAGCATAGAGCTTTTAAAATATTTCACCATTACATGCAAAATGGAAATTGGGAATACAGCCTTTCGTATTTTCACAGTATTCCTCCACTCTTCTCTCAGGAAGGGGAAAAGCTGCTTGCCTCTAAGCGCTACTAATCTAATACACAAATTGGAAATCATTAAAAAAATTACTAAATCACATACACATATGACTAAGGTTTAATAGAGGACATTATACTTTGTGAGAGTAGCTCTAATGTTCCTTAGGCAAACTATTTCAAACTGCTTTAGCTCTAACTAAATGCAATAATAATCCCCACTAAAAAGCAATATAGTCTAAGTGCATTATAATATGAACTTCACTATTAGAAACCATCATCCTGTAGTTATCTTGGAAGTTGTATGGATGTGAGGAATATCAATACTAAGATGAAGAGGATTAGAGCAACAACTGTTCATCAACCGAGAATCAATTTTTCAGCGTGATAATTCTTACCTTGCTTAAACATTAGGACTATAGGAAGGTGAATACCAGAAGCAACACTGTTTCTAACTGCTGATGCATTGCAGAAAAAAGGTTAAATATGGAAAAGTTTAATGTTCTAAAAGTTAATGATCAAAGGAAGACTTTGCAAAACTGTCAAGAGTTGCTGTCTTCGCTGATGATGAGAGTGACAGGTTTGAAGTAATAAGAGCAAGCAGTTTATTGAGCTTAGTAACAAAACTGCTCTCCTTACTTTGTTCAAATTCAGAAAAGAAAAACATTCAGCTAGAGACTAAAACTAAGCATGAGAAGTTTTATCTGAAAATATCTTTTTTCTTGTGAAAGATTAAAAGGAAAGAAACAACGGCTAGAACAGATCAGCTTCTGCAGCATTAACCACAGGATAAATGGTTGTTCTTTTTTTCTTTCACAGTCTAATACTTCATTTAGGCATCTCTAACTACTTCTCTTTCTGCTACCACTTCTAAAACAAGCATTTCACTCTTCATGGATCTTAAGGGTTTGGTAACCACTTATGAATGGGCAATTATTAGTGGAGCAGATGTGCCTGCCTATCAGGGGATTCTCTAGCTGAACGGGGGGCAACACACCAGACCGCCACAGCTCCCACATCCTTTCCATCTTTGTACAGAAGCCAAACGACATGTATTTGTACTTAGGAGCATGTAAACAGTGACTAATGTAAAAATGCTTTCCCCCCTCCCATCTAAATAAAAAACACCCCACCCCCCCATCCACCCCCCGCAAACAGTAAGGAGAAAAAGGAGCTTATCTGAATAATGATAGAGGTAAGTGCAGAAAATCCTTGGTAGTCAGGCTCTTAGCACAAAGTTGCAGAGGGCATAAAACACAAGACACGTCGGATATTAGTTCACAGCCAAAGGTGCTACCAACCCCACTTCCCGCAGCCCC